AAAAAAAAAAAAAAAAAAAAAAAAAAAGTATGTATGTTGCTGTCTTAAAATCTGTACTGAGTGCTGGGGATTTAGCTCAGTGGTTCTGCCACCTCCCTCACCAAGGACCTGAGTTCAATCCCCAGTACCCCCGCTCAAAAAGAAAATCTGTACTGAGTACAGATTTTGAGTATTTAAAAATGGTGATTTTACTACTCATAGTGATGTAGGGGAAATGGACATAACTCCCAAACCTGTTAGATATCAAAAACTCGAGTTCATGTTCTCTAAAATCGAAAAGTGAATTCTAGGAACCACAGAGGACCCAAAGTTAATTGTTTTACTGCTTGTTTGTCTGAAATGCCTTAGAGACCCCCGCACACACATAAGCATCTTTTAATCATCAGCGTGTGATTGCCAAGTATGTGCTGCTGACCACTGGCAGACCAGTAGCCTGTCCCTTGCCTCCAGGCTTTGAATGTTAACTCCCCTTATCCCTCTTATAAAAAGGACCTCAGCCCCTGAGCTGGCGCCTCTCTGAGCTACTTGGCTCCGTGGGTGCCATTTGGCCAGACTAATAAAGGTCTGTTTTCCAACTAGTCCGGTGTGTTCCTTCCTGGGTGATTCCTGCTGCTCGTCAAGCTCCTGGAGCAATCGCTGGGCTATAGGCCCAGCATCCTGGAGGCCCTTTCAGCTGTTCAAGCTCCTTGGAGTGGAAATAAGGCCCTAGGTTGCGTCCAGCGCCTTTGTCTTTTGAGGCAGGGTCTCACTGAGTCACTAAATAGCCCAGGCTGGGCTCAAATTTATAATCCTCCTGCCTTGACCCCCCAGAGTGCTGGCATCCGGTCCAGGTACCTTTCCAATCCTGTAGGGTTACAGGAGCCTTTACGCTCAGTTCAACAAATCCAGTGTTGAAAAGGATGGAGCCAGCACTCTGTAAGGAGACCGACTTAGCAGAACTTCCCTAGAAACGCATCAAAATGTTCCCCAAACTCTACATGTGTTCATAACATGGGAACATATAATTTTCCCTAGATGTTTCAGCTGTAAAGTAGGGATAATAATGGTTATCTCACATGATCTGATGTTTAAGCGCTTTGAACTGGAATTAAAAAGTTGCAGTCATCAGCTCACAGATGGTTTAAAACCATGGGAACCGATGAGATAACCCAATGTAGTGGGGGCAACTTATGGCACTCATGGTTTTGTGTTTTTCTTTTCAGACAAAAGATGTTAATGTATGAATTGTTTTTTCTAAACTAAAACCTCAGGTTTAAATGCTGTGCTGGCACTTTACAATAAGTAAGTGGGTTTGGGGCTGCAATTTGGGCACTCATCTCAAACGTTTGCCAGCACTGACCTAGAGAGAAGGCTGAGAAAAGATTACTGCACTCCTTTCAAACCTTTCCTTCTCATTTGCACATTCAGCTACTCTGTATATATGTGCATGGTGTGTGTGTGTGTGTGTGTGTGTGTGTGTGTGTGTGTGTGTGTGT